TATGACATACGTTATATTAGAGATCACAATATCATACTTATACATGCATGTTCATACTTCCCAGAAGCGGATTCCGTCCAAAAGGGGAAATACCAGGGCGGAGCGAAGCTAAGGTATAGTTTCCAGACAAACGATCATTCACATTTTAGTTCTCTAGCCCCGTAATTCGCTTCTTAAGATGTAGTTGCAAAATCCAGACACAGTCGTTTCAGATGAGCTCATTGACCAACACCCCACCCCCGCCCTGGACCGCCAACTTAGTGAGTTTATCAGAGACTTGGACCAAGCTCTCCGTTTCCCCGCTGGCCCGTGCAGCTGTCAGCGCATCGTGCATGACGCTCACCATCAACCTTAACGTCAGAAGTGCCTTCGAGCGCCACTTTTTAGCATCACTCAGCGAAATTGAATCTGAGCCCATAAAGATCGAGAAGTGATTCTTCCATGCAGTTCATAACCCTTGTTGCATTTCCGACATATGAATACATCACCTCGTCTAACACAAACCCCATCATCACATAGAGGGCAGTGAAGGCTCTCCCAGTCACTGAGGCCGTTCTGAACATCACTTGCAATCGAACTCGATAATTTCCACTAAGAAGCCCTTCCATAAACTCCTCCGTATGCGACGCATCACGAGGAAAGACAACTCCTCGTTGCTTCACTACATCACTTCCAGGGTAAATTAATTTTCTGCCAGAATTTTCAATAATTTCCCATTTTTCTTGCAAAAAATGCCGTTTTTTTCACCAACTGTTTTTATCAAGTTGCCCGAAATTCCAAAGAAATAGCCGATCATTTCAAAAAACGTACCAACTCTTGATACTAAGTTCTCTATGGGCTGTCGCTGTCTACTACGACTCTAGTTTTGGATACACGTATTACTGATTCATCCTGGCATCTGTCACACATACACACGAAATGCTTTTCCCTCAGCATTTGGTCGCGTCTTGCTCCAACACAATCGAAAAACGGCGAAGTAGCAAATCTGACGGAAAAAATGAACTTCAAATCCCCTCTGAATTGGTATTACGCCAAATGATGGCCAAAATAAGACATACTCAGCTGCTCACCAGCTAGCACCGGTCGAACCGTGATCGCTGTCAGCAGAGGACCTTCCAAACCGAATCAGTTGTCGAGACTTCTACTACTATTACGTGTGTGAACAGTTTCGGGACTGTACGTCGATATAGAAACATTAGGCATACAACTGTGATTTAGCAGACTGGCCACTATAAACACGCAAGTGGCTGCTCCGATGCAAGGTAGGCCGCGACGACTGACGGTGTTTTTGAAGGAGTTCAATGCGATACATTCGCTCACTGCAGCCATCTCTCTGATCTGATCACAATGAACTATGCACGCCATTGTTCTTCATCATGATCAAGGCTCATCCAAGACACTACATACGCCATAAGAAGTTCCGTTTCGTTACTGATAATCAACTTAGCCTACTCTTCGCGATCTATCATCTGATTACTCTCCAACCCACTACACGGAATTTGATCCCCGTTCGCCCCTTTAGCGGGGATCTCGTCAATGTACGAGCGTATAATTATCGCGATGAGAAGAACTATTCAAGTTGTCTCTCCAGAGGCTTAACAGATAACACCTATGAATCACTTTCCCGATAGAAAGGTAATTTCATGTGGGACGCTCTGCATGATTCTTGCCATTTCATAACTGTTCCCCACACTGCAGCACTCATGAGCTCGAACGAAACAGTACTGCCAAAAATTATGCATAGGACTAGTTCCAAAATTCCGTCCAAGCTACGGTGCTTTCATCGTCGCATAACCGGAACCTCCATATGCACATTCACTATGCGCGGCGACTTCACGTCATTCAACGTAGACCAACCTCATAAAAACTCACTTCTCTATCACTATGATTCCGTCTGAAGTCCTCAAAAGTTGCGATGAAATCTCGACACAACGCTTCGCTAGGTGCTGCAAACATACACATCCAACCCACTAGCGTGAGCGAGGCCGCAGGGCTTACTTTCCTCCTCGTCATCGAAAACATTCATTACTGCTTTCCATGCCTCGGGCCGGGCAAGCCACTTAGCAGACTGCTCATGGGAGAAGAAATGAGCGAACGAATTAATATCATCCTTTATACCATCAGGCAAGGCTTCTAAGTCGCCACTACTCCGAGGATAAAGAAACTTGAAAAAAAGCCAAAATGGCCGCACATGCTTTTCCATTACTTTACCTGTCGGAGCTTTCTAGCATCTGAAAAGTTCTTCATGATCCACAAGAGGTTGTCCAGCGTACCCGCAACCGCACATTCTCTGAGAGAAAAAAACAGCAACGACTATTGAAAATCGACAACACCACTGACAGTGGTGCTAGCCCTAGAGTAATGCTCCCAAGCTCACCAACAATCATATCATCATAGACTCTCAAAATGATCCTAAATTAGGAGTATAGTTAGTTAATAGGAGTTATTAGGAGTTAATAGGTCGTAGTCAGATTTATCTGTATTAGGATTCCTAATACAGATAGATCTGACTACGTCAACTTCCTCCCGAAGAAACCAGACAAATTAGATTCTACCAAGAAACATATAATCATCATCCTTCATACCTCTCTGGTCGGTAAGCTGTATAACACAATGAATTTGCTTTTATCCAACATGCCCCACCGAGAGTCACTTCGCGAGGCTATTGCATGTGTCTTTCCATTATTCCCCTAAGAGCTATTTCCCTCATCGCCCTCCTCGTCTGCGTCCTACCTGCGTGGTGCTATGATGACCGCTGGTTGCTCTTCCAACAGAATACACCCCTCTGGAATGTCATCCGACGCGTACAAGCCCATCCCACTCACTTCACTGTGACGAACCTACTACCATCACTACTACCCACAAATCTATTTCAATCCACCTCAAAACACTTAGCCACCCTCAACAATTGAGGCCTCAAAGTGGACTTAGTATTTCCAGGAACGGCAGGCAGGAGCTCCTCAAAGCCTCTAGGAACTTCTGCTGCTCCATTGCAAGACGACGATCGACTCTTCTTCTTAGGCATGACGGAAAACTACACTCATTATCCCTCCACTAAACTCAACAGTTCCTATATTAGCAAATAATGACTATGCGCACCATAAAAAATATTCGTGAATTCAGGGGAAAGTCTTCTTAGTCATAATATTGTAGAAATCTTCCGCGCTGATTTCGCCGTCACCATTGCCTAAGTTGAAACCATCCACAAGAACCAACTCCCCCCCATCCTATCACTATCAGCCCTCTCGATCATCTCGCGTAGTTCCTCATCGGTCATAGTCTGCCAAAAGAGCCACCTTATCAAGGACACTTCCTCCCCTATTACCTCTCCGAGCTCCTTAGCAACACGGCGTAGATTCTTGATGGTAATAGTACCTACAGCCCATCCAGATCATGTCACTATAATATCAGAGCCTACCAGTTTTATCGTCATCAAAGAGATTAAATATTCTCATTATTCCCTCGCGGGACTCCTTATCCCCCTAACAATAAACACATACATTTCCCCATACTAGTGCCTTCAGCTCAGTCCAGAGGTTTCCTCACTATAGAAGTTTTCATACGAAAGCAGTGCTGCAAAAAAATGTTCGCTCTCTTCAGCTGAGCTCAATAGCTTCTTCACTAATCATAGGATTTCACATACGACTTGGGAGAATATATACGATAATTGTACTGAAACTAACAAGGATCCTCCAAAATTTCCTCCGAATTTTCATATTCTCACCAACACATGTGGTTAAGCATGTGCATATTTTACCACACTGTACGAAAGTGTACAGAAACCGATGAGACGTTCCTCAATTTTCCTCAGAATTTACACACATGTCACCTACACATGTAGTTAGCCATGTGTATATTTTCCCACTCCGCGCCATACCACACCTTCCTCACCAATTTATTAGTAATACTATCCAGAAACTCCTCGAAATCAACAGCGCCATTACTCTCCCTCTCAAGATCAGCGATCATCTGAGTACATTTTCACACTAATTCTTCCCGAGAAAATTCTACCTGATATATAGTGGGATTCTTAGACTCAAATCCAAGACTCTGCATAGCCGCTTTCAACTCCTTCGGATCGATCGTGCCACTTCCATCAGTGTCGAACAGATTAAAAGCCTCTCGAATCTCATCTATCTCATCCTATACAGAAACATAACACACACCTAAACTCCTACTGCCCACCTCGGTCATCCCTGGCCTCTCATAAGTAGGCTTGCGGCGAGCAGCACCATGAGCAGGACTAGCACGTGCGCGGCTCATTTTCACAGAGTACCAAAATCCTGCCGAAATCTGCACAAGGGTAAAAACCAAAACCATCGATCCCTCTCAGTGAAACGATCAAATAAAGGGCGAATTATGATGCACTTCTAATACACAATCATACAAGAGAATTCTCAGCCGCCCGTAGCTGCCGCCTCGCGTATTGTGAGGAGCTCCTGAGCTTTGTCCATTAATGACAGCGATTGACTCCTTATACAAGCCAGCTCTAGTCGGGATAGTTTGGACACCTACCAAAGACTCCCGACACGCTGAGAAGGATGGTCTTACGTCCAAATTCGCAACATCGGTGTCGAGCATCTTGATACCTTCTCGTATCTTGTGGCGTCTTATATTCAGAATGTCTAGGAAATGTGGTATGACAATAATCACTCGTAATCACCACAATTTCACCTTCCAATAGAACCCGAACCTCCGCTTGAGCCCTCGAACCTCCCAAGGAGTCTTGCGAGCCGCCTCCGACCACCTCCCCTCCGTTCCCATTGCTCTTCAACCAAGGACGCTTATTCAATAGTATCTGCCTCAGCTCATGCACGACCAAACTACATATGCATACGTACATGTGCCAATTCGAGGTAGTGTTCATGTACATCTGTAAACTCATCTACTGGCAACCTGCGCTCTTCCGCCAGCTGCTGTCGTAAATGTGTCGCGTTGAGCCACTCAGGTGCTTCAATCGAACACCTAGTGATTCCAACCGATGAAGCAACTTCTAATATAAATATATTATAAATATTAAAAGCAATACATATATCAATTGAGTTTCATCCGTTTTACGTGAAGTGGCGTAATACTCTGTGGAAAACGCGATTTTCGCCGTGATATACAGTAGCCGTGAAATACATATTTTTCACTATTGTTTTTCATATCACTAGAGTGAAACTCCAATGTGAAAGTTGCTGCTGAATATTACTACTGTTTTTACATACAATCATCATTAAACCATCGTGAACATAGATATTATTCACCATAACATTACATGTATATTACGATGACCCATCGCTGTCACTAACCTCCTCACCGGTTGATCTTCTCTAGATATAAAGCCAACCACAGGGGTACATCAGCAGGCATGTATGGACTGAACGGTCCCACTACTCCTGAGAAGAGCTCCCATCTAGCCCCAAATGTGGTGAAGGAAGCCGACGGTACTATTGTCACCTACTTACAAGCACTCAAGTGACAGTAGCCTTCCTTCCTCACCAGTGAGTCCATCGCCTCAAACTCCTCATTGCCAATCATTGCTGCCCTTCGTACAGTGTCAACATCGCATATTCGAATTTGGTCCATCGTAAGGAGCAACAACACCAACACTACAACACTCCTATCTGCGGGACGAATAGCCCCTCATACAAGCTTCACAGAGGAAGACAACTCTCACCATAAATTGAGATTCCCGACAGATCTTCTGGACTTCAAAACATGTAAAAAATTCGGACTAGACTCAAAAGAGGCCCATCGAGAATCCACCCAAGGCGAGAACAAGTCGAACTCACCTCCTCCATAAACCTGACCAAACTCCCCCGTCCTGTTCGTTACCTCCACTGTAGGATACGCCAAGCGAGTGGTCACCACCTCGTCAACGATTGACAGAGATGTAATTTCCATTCATTTCGGAGTCTCCTATGAGCTACGACAGGAAAAACCAATTTCACACAACAGGACACTACTACTACTACTACTACAGCTTTGTGCAGGTGAGATTATATATCCGAGCCCCGCCTTGAACCTGCGCTATTCGCGTCGGCGTGGTTGCCCAAGAGAATAAAAAAATTCTCCCGTGTGAATTAACATACTTATACACTGTCGCGAATAATAAGGGAGAAACTCTATTAATACCATTGACGAGCGAGCGGAATATGATATGAATAAAATCTCAACAGGAACCGATCCACACCAGCGATGACGCACTGAACGTTCCATAATACTACTATACTAATGAAAGACTATAAAAGGAGGAAAGTGCAGCAGTCAAGCACGTTGGCGTCTATCCATAATCCTCACTACTTTGCTTTTTCTTCCATAGTCATCCGTGAAAATTCATATACGTACCTGACAGCTTGATAAAGAACTTCACCCACTTCATATTCGTTTACGTTCCGAGAGTCTTCGCCCCCATAATATAGTTCCTCCTCGAGATCTTCTCGTTTTGACTGTGAGCGCCGTCATTCCCTTGCCCGATCGGCAACAAAATGGCGGGTTTGCCTCCGCTGACCTCCTCAAAGGTCAACGTGATAGGGATAGACCCGCCCTCTCTGGTGTAGTCGGGCTCGACACCCCATACCTACTCCGATACAGTATTAATTCTACCAGCAACATGGCCACCACTCCAACTGCGGTATTTCAATCTCACAAGCTTGGAATACATTCACGCTCTCCTCAGCTGAGTTCACACAAAAATGAATGAAAAAATTCCCGAAATTTCCTCAAAATCCTCCTTTTACCGCTAACACACTTAGTCAACCTGTGCATATTTTCCAACACTGCAAAACCCATCTATGCGAAATCCAGTCTTTGAACATTAAACGATTTCACAGCGCACTCCACAGAGCACAGACATACATGCCTAAACTCCCTCCTCACCTGTCTAGTGGCAGCAGCTGCAGCACGGTAGTTATAACCATTCAAATCTCCAACCCAAGGCTGATACAACAAAGCCAATTTCCGTTATTCCCGATCATAAAACTCCATTACCTTTCCCGCGTGAATAACATTGACCTTCAGACGGTTTTTACTTCCCAGCTTATCAAAGACTTTCACAACATGTTGTTTCACGCACTCCGACACGTGATTGATCGTCATGTGTGGTACGGTACGGATCGAGAATTTACCTAAAATCTAATAAACCCCTCCAAGCCTCAACCTCATCCTCACCAACGACCGTGCGAGGAATGACCGTTTTCGCGCCCGCCCCCGCGAACGCGCCCTCTATACCATGCAGGGACAAAGTCGGATATCTCGACCGCGCCATCAAGATCGTGGACTTATCCTAAAGGGAAATCATTCTCCTCCACACACTTCCCCACCCACTGCATAATACATGGCTCAGGAGAGGCATGCCGCCAGTATCCTCATTTGCGTAACCAGCGACATCAAAATCACAACGCTCGTATCTATTCGAACCGATATGCACACCATGAAGCCAATTCACGCAACATACCTTTCCTTCTCCTCTTGAGTCAGCTCGTCAACCTCGTCGTATATACCAGGAACCAGTATTTTTCCGGTAGCACTGTCAACTAACGATGCCATAATCTGATCGTAGTGCAGTGTAGGAAAATATGTTGCTGACGAAATGGTAATTTTCAGAAAATTTTCGGAATTTCTTGTTCATTTTCTTACACTTCTACCCAAATTTGTGCGTAACTTCCCATAATTAGTGAGAAAATTCCTAAGCTCAGCTGAGGAAAGCGACCAAGTACTCCAATACCATCAGAAACCCCTAAACAGCATACAGATGAGGTGTAGTCAGCTACCTTCACGAGGTCAGTCATTGGCTCTTGGACGGCTCCACCGTGAGCTCCCGAATGAAGATCCTTCGTGCCTCCACGCACCTAGTTCATACCATAACTTCGCCACATCACACGAGTGAGCAACTACCTCCACAGCAAAGTACACATTACCGCGGATACCCCAGGTGACACACGGACGCTCGAGACCCATCCAGTAGTTATCAGAAATACAAATGCCGTCGACATCGTTGAAGAAGGTCTCGCTCACCGACTGAAAAGTATTAACCGAATTATCCACCACTTACCACACCAACCGAACATCACCTGAAGGCACTCCTCAAGGCCTTCTGAACCCGACTCCTCCATGCCTTCAAACACACACCTACCAAGGAGGTCAAGGAACATCCATTGCAGAAACTACCGCTACTCACTTGAGATTGCAGGGCAACGGTAAGTTAAATTTCCTATGGAATTCCACAAACCACAGCCAACAGAGAACCGGTCCTTTATCGTCTGTTGCACCTCTACCATATCTGATCGAACATGCATGTGAAACAAGACCAACTCCTCCAGCCTCCGCCCCTACAGGTTGCCATCCTTCTCAGTCAGCTCAAACGGTTCCGTATCCCACCCGTCCTCCTTGCTAGCCGGCTGCACGTCTAGATGACCATACACGCACAAGGTAGGGACACCAGGCAAGGTCGACTCGAAAGTGGCGAACAGGGCCGGAGGGCGAACGATACGGCTACCTACTCATTCGAACAGCAGTAACGTATGCGATACGATGAGAGAAGCTCACCATCAGGGAGAGTCTGCAGACCTAGATCAACAGGCTCCGTAACCCCTCCAAGAGATTCACACCATTTAGTCGCCCAAGCTACCGTTTGGAGAACCTAAAAAGAACCTAAATACTCCAGGGCGTAGCGAGATTTCCACCGCTCACCCTAGGGCGTAAAGTAGGGTCGCCAGAGACACTGGGAATAGCAACAGCTTCGGCCAATCTCGATACAAAGACCTGAAGCCAAGTATCATATTACCACGCAGGTTCGATCCCCGGCTGGTACATCTTGGTTTAGGTCGATCCACTCATACATCGCCTTGTATAGGTCCTTACTAGGATCAGCAGTGATGCTCTCATTGGTGTCTCTGAACACTTGGAGTGGTGACACCAGAGGTGACACGGACTCTCACCTGAACCCAAGCTCGCACTCATCAGCCATCGTCTGTACGCTGGCCACTGCATCGCACTCAGCTGAGGTCAAATCTTGCTGCCTGAGGTGTACATCATTCGAACCTCTTTTGAATCTTACACGCTCAACCTAAAGATACTACATCTGAACCGTGAGAGGCCTATACGGGATCGATGGTGACGGCAACAGATTCTGGGGTGTCACCGGATGATAGGGTGAGGAAGCCAGAGTACCTAATACGATCAACTTCACCAACCCGACCAAGACCAACCCCAAGTGCTACTTGAGAATTCTCCGGTAGCCGAAGTAGGAACAGCGGCAACGTCCACCTTGGGTGGGGCGATAGGGGAGTTGGACTCCTCGATATTCAACGAGAACTCTTCTGACATTACTTCAATACAATTGAACCTGGTCACCTTCACCGCGCCACAAAATTCCCCCCAACACAAGACGTCGGCGCTCCAGTGTGAGACCATGCACTGACCAACACGTTCAAGGGTCATGCTATCACCGGGAGCCGATACGGCCTTCACCACCCTAGCCTGCCCGATACTCCCCAAGGCCACCAGCCTCTACAAGGACACCTTCTCCACTGCAGAAAACTCCCCCCCCGTTTACATCCGAACAATCAATAGATGTGACCACTGCAGACTCACCTGCCTGAGTAGTGTATAGTGTGGTACGATAAACCTGCAGGGCGAAGGTGATTCCGAGATGGAGTATATAAAACGTCTGACAGGCTCGAGAGTGGCCAAATCTAATAAGGCAACTTGTCCTCCTTTAGAAGCCGCAACCACTATACGATCGTTAAGGTAGCTAACGCCCTCAACGGTAGATTCAAACGTGATTTCGCGAGGGAGTGGTATCTACACTATTCATAAATCACATCACCAGAGAAAGATCCGTTACCTCCTTCCAGCTCAACCGAGGGTCAAACAGCTTCACTCTGCATTGGCTCGATGCGAACCCTTTAGACCCGCAAACGACATAACCTTCTTACTGATGAGACCCTCAAGAATCCAATACGCTTACTATCACTATCCCTTCCCACAGCACACGACACCAACTGGTCCGCTCCACACGGGGTCGAATGCACTATACAGGCCGACCCAGGCGGTGATCTAAAATCCCATACCTGAGCCCCGCATACCAGAAGCCTCTCGAGAGCTGCCCTCGGCCGACCCTAAATTGGAGATCCTCAGATAGTTGGACCACCGCGAGCGACTCCGGCAAAATCCTGAGAAGTTCACTCGAGGAGGTTACACGTGATAAAGATACCTCACGCGTGTCACCACGTTACGAGATGTCCATATTGTTGATATCTGCCGCGCTGTGCTGATGTCCCAGTAGGTCACTCTGCAGTCCCTACCCCCCGTCACCACCACATTTCGCTGAACCACACAAGAGACCTCCCCAGCGGGTCGGAATTGACCTCACCCGCAGACTGCCCGTAGCCGATGCAACGGAAAGTTCATGTCCATTCAACCTGCTGACTCCAACTAGGAAACCCTCGTCCTCACGAGCCGACCACAACCCGACGCTCCGGTCTGCTGAACAGGTGATCAGATGGCCCTCACCGATAGACACCTGAGATGAAATCTCTATGATGATACTGGACTACCTTACCACTTCGTTGATACCCTCACTGTGGCATTTAAACTGACAATGTTGATGCCATGCACATGTTGTAGTTGGCTTGAAAGCCGACACGAAGCCTTCACTATCTGCCAGTACTAGCCGAGCAAGCGGCGAGGGAGAATCCTCGAGAAAAACCACCGCTGTTACGATACTTTCGGCCTGCGGCACAAAGCGTCGGAAAAAAGGTAATAAAAGTGAACCTACCTCGGCTGGGAGACTGTAGGACTCGGGCTGGTAGCGTTGAGGGAACGATGGAAGGCAAGGGCAACACCTCAGCTGTTGTCGACGATGACGCATTAGAAAGCTATGAATAATAACATACCACCTTTTGGGGTAAAGATTAGGCTCTAACATAAGCTCGTCCTTGAACCTGCTATAGCAGGACTGTTCTATATGCAAGCGGAAAGCATCATAGTTCGGACAATTCCCATCGAACATCCCTGTAGGCACATAGGGAAGTTTCCTTGGACGCTGCCCCCACGTAAAAGCTTGCATGTCGAGGAAATGTAAGAAAGAGTAATAACGCAAGATTTGATTTCCATAGTGCCCATCGTGGAATTCCCCGTGTGGATCTTCATCATGATCAAACACCTGTGGCTGCATGCCTTATTAATAGCATCGACTACTCTGGCGCTCTCCACTAGCAGAAGAGCTTATGTTGACGATGAGGAATCATCTACAGGGTGCTTCGGGACTCTGTGTGGCCTCTTGGGAAGACGGAAGGCCAACGACGAATCAGTGCCGTACGAATCGATCACTGTGAGGAGCAAACCGTCAAAGCCCAAAGTGCCTATCAAGAGGAGAATCCTATCAGTCTTCAAGAGATCCCCAAAGTCCGAGGCCAGACCCGTTCTTAGTCGTTCCACTGAGGCATCATACGATGGTGTTTCGACTGAGGTGAATAGACGATATAGGAACGACATGGAGGAACGACTTAACGCGATGATTGCAGGATGGTGACGACCTTCCATCACATGTATGTTGTTTGATGTCCTTGACAATCTATACATACTGTTGAGGTTTATCAATAAGCATCATAACTAGCTCGGGTGACACCCGAGTGCTTCCATGATGACTAACTCCTAAGAGGCAGCCTGAAATTAACCTCACTTCTGACATCATCAAGAACCCTCCCCTGCCCCTTGATGGTCATAAGAAAAAGGAGATGAAAATGTTCAATTTCACTCCTGGACGAATAAGCTGGTTCTTCCTGACGATGCCTCTGGATCCTATCCATCACAAGAGCATCCTCTGATGACATCATAGCGGCTAGACGGTAACGACGAAGCCGAGGTGACGCAGTATGCTGAGCATTTTAAAATTTGCCCCGGATCATGCAGCTCCTTCGAAATCATTCCACCCTGAGGGCCGCGAGTAAGGAGAGAACTCGCAATCACCTTGTTTATTGACGTTATCACTACTTGCTATGTGTCTTGTTAATGTCAACTATAAACATTGCCCAGGGGTATTGTCGATATGTCGAACAACGTAGATGCAATCTGGGCTGAGATGAAGGAGGAAGGAAAGAGTGCCTCCCAGAGAGCTCAGCGCATCGCGCAAGCATCCGATGGAAGTTTGCCAGTCTTCCGCAAAAAGCGCGAAAAGAAGCCCCAACGGGCGAAAGAATTGAGTCTCTGGACGAGTAGGTCTCATCCTACCGCTCCCCCCTCAACCGTCTTCAGATGGTGGTACTGCAGCTGAGGGCTCAACAGACCGGTTTCTCTACGAGGAGTTCACCACAGATAAAGAAAGTGAAAACCGCGCCATCGATAATCACCGTTCTGATACGGTAAGCAATCGATGGTCATTTGTCATTACTCATTTTTCGTAGAAGAATAATATCACTGAGAGCTTCACTTCAGTACGCGCATACGGCCTGTATCCACCAGAACACCCTCTATATTAGGTCGCCGCACTCACTGACTGGCTGCGTGCATCAGTACCGCTAGTCTTGAGGGCAGCCGAGGAAGTGAAATCATATTCGGAAGCACCTCCTCCTGGTCAAGGCTTGCCTCAAGCGACCGAGCTTGATGAACAGCTCTGTGACAGGCTTCTTAGCCGCTTCAAAAACTCTATCGCACCCGATCTCGCTGATGCAGCCCTTGAGGTTGGTGTTTGTGAATCTCCATTGGGAATTTTCGCACCATGTATAGTTTCTCCTCCGCCCCCTCGTACGCCTTTCACTCAACCCAGACACGTTGGCCAGGGATACCTCAAGACTTGCCGCTTGCGAGGTGAGACATACATCCATGCGTGCAATGCAAAGACCCACAGTTAATCGCTGATTCAAAGCCCATCATCTTAGTTCATAATTCGCCCCCCTTCATTTGCCGCAGCTAGATTGAGGTTATCGTTCGACAATTCATTTAGGTTCTGAAGAACCTCTTGTCAACCTGTGGAGACGCCCACTTTGTCACCGCCCTCCCGTGAGACATCTCCCGTCTCCTCTCTAGACACACCACCAGCAGTGATTCACAGGTACGTTGTGCCTCACATAGTGATTCGTTTGAATTGCGGTGATCTCGATGGGGTCGCTGGAGTGCCGGAGAAGATGAGGCCTTCGCCAGAGCAAAAGCCCCAGCAGATGGCTCACGCAGACGGCAGAGAACTTTGTGAGGAAGTTAGAGAGCGAATCGCCGATTTGGTGAGTTTCTCGTTCGTTACGTCTCGCCCCAAAGTTCGTAGATAATATGCCTGTTGGGACGAGTTTCCGGCAAGCCGACCGTCCTCGTCCAAGTAGGGTTGCGTGTATCGGCCGATGATGCATCTTCACTTCCATCCCTATTCAGTCCATCGATGAGATCGTGAGTCTAGTGAGAGGCCTCATGCTCGACGATTTCGGCAAAATCAAGCTCATAGGCTGCGAGGCCTGTGAGGTCCTCTGCGACGCCCATGCCCCTCTCTTGGTGAGGATTCCCTCGATCATGCCATCACCTCATTCTATCGTCAGTTGCACTTTGGCGAGGCGATGGCTCGAAGCGCCTCATCCTGCCTCACTCACAATCATATGCAGGTATCGCGGCCTCCCAGCTTTGGCCCTCACACTACTCGTACAGGTTCGCATCGCGGGACTAAGAGCAGTGACTGCATGCCTGAAGACGACTACCTGGAAACACTCCTTCGACATTATCGCACATCTTACTGCATGGAGCGATCCCAACCAGGTCTCCTCAGCGATCTGTACTCGTCAATATAAGCATCCCAGGTGCCAGTGAAAGCCTTCTACGAGGGCACTACAAAAGTCAATTACCTCACTATGCTGTGTTTCGACCGCCACATAGCGGTAGACCACGCCGTTGGAGTGTTATGAAATCACACCCAAGCAGGTTCGGCGATTTTTCTACCAAACTCTCGGCCATTGGTTGCTGAACTTGGAAGATTCAATCGACATCGAACCCCATGTACATTCAGATGTCATGATCGATGTCATCTCACAATAGGTCATGCCCTTCTTCCTCACTGGCCTCTTTGATGATGACTACTCCACTAGAGTCCTCGTGTTCGCTCTCATCGAGATGGTTGGGGAAAAATACGAGAGTGAGGAATCGCTACTTCCGGACCAATTCTCGGCTACCGCTTGGACTACATCCTCATATACATAGCTTATAGAGTATAAGTTTATACCCCTTTGGAGAGTTTCAAGAAGGGGCGTACGCTTATATTCTACACTTTTAAATTTGAACCTCTCGCATAACGCATAAGTGTTGCCGCGGCTACGGCTCTGCCTAGTGTGTAATACACACTCTGTCTGCACACAAATGATCAGCTCGAACTGGCATGCATTCGAAATATGATCGTCTTATCAGAAATGAACGAGGTTGATCTGCGAGAGAAGCGTCAGCTTGGCCTAGACGCGGCATGGACATACGATGGCAGGGCTTGTGATGTATGCCCAAGTATCCTTGTTATCGATAGTGGAGGCCTCGGGTCAGATTCCATTCTTACCTTTGATCCACGGCGTCCATCATGAGCTCGCCGCTCGAGCTGCTGTCTTCGATGTGAAAGACTACGACTGGCCGCTCATGGCGGAGCTCGTCACCAGTGATAGAGTTGCAGATATTGCTAAATACGTTACAGCTGGAAAGGTGTGTTCAGCGCTGCTGGGCTCTGCATCCTCGTTGATTTCGATGCCCGTCCCACTGTGCAGAGGCGAATAAGGGAATTTTAAAGGTCTTGATGTATAGCAAGTCTTGACTATCCTGTAGATTCATATGTACCTTCATCACCGTCGCATTCTACTGACGCTTGTATCATTGTAGCCGTCCCGCGATGGAATCATTGTTCGACTGTCCAAATTTGGGGCTTGTGGTTGATGGCGAATGTGCTCAGCCTGTGCCAAGGCCTCGACTTGGCGCGAGATGTTGGGTGAGGACATCAGCGAGGAGGTTCATCCTTGCGACCCTCAATCAAGTGACTGACTTCAAGGAATGTACACTCTCCGGCAGCTTCTCCTGGGTTTGCATATGTCTATTGACAGGTAACGCCTTGAATGCTGCGAGACTTTTGGCTGTATTGGTCGGATTTGTCGAAGAAGGTGAGCTCCAGCTTGTTTAGAACAAGGCTTGTTCAACAAGCTGAAGATAGTTGAGGCAAATACCCTACCCGGGGATCGAACCCGGAATCTCCACCTTAGGAGGGTGGCGCCTTATCCATTGGGCCAGCAGGGCGTTGATATAGCGTGGCGTGCTCCTCGCGCGTTGATGATTCTTCCCTCAGGAGTAACAGAATGGTTAAAACAGATCATTACGGCTGCTCAGAGGGTCTACCTTGGACGTTCAGGAGACGAAGAAAACCGGACCGAGACCATCAGTGTGTAATTTCCAGCGATACGCTGCATCAGCGTTAACGCAGTCCTCCTTGGCAGATTTGACTTAGTCGTCACGATGCTCGGCCGCTATGTTGATCCACAAGCATGGTGGGATCTCCTGTAAGTTGTCCTGAGATATGTCACGACTAGACTTGCCCATAACATGGACCACTTGGCTCAGCTCACCTGATCTCCGTGCCGAATCTCATCTTGAAGACGAATGGCGTTTGACATCGGTGAAAGTATTAAGTCTGCTGCTCGCAGGGGCATTGCAAGTCTACGGTCAGCACTGTTCCCCGGAGGTACGACTCTTTGATATTGTCCACCTCCTTGAACCCCGTACAGAGAAAAGGATAATCTCGTCGCTCATCTCAGGCTCCACCAGTCTCACGGTGTCAGCCACTTTACGAGCACATCATCGCCAGCATCTACACGTCCGATCTTCTCCTATCTCGCGGTGAGACTCCGTGCTCTATCAACCCTTCGTAACAACAGTGGCGATGAATCAGCAGCGAACTGCAATGAGGCGAACTTCCTGGCTCAGTTTCAACATCTCGAGAAGCATTCCTATCTATCCTCCGGACTCTCTCCAGCGCGACCGATTTCGATAACTTCGGGTCTCAACGAATGAAAGTGATTGCGGTAGCCTCTAGTGTCGCCGCACACTCATGTGCCTCAGTTTATAGCCTGTGAGCTGTTGCTCAATGGGCCCCAGGACGAACGAATACCTTCAACGGTCGACTTGGTGCCCGCAGATGCCGATCCGCAGCGAGCCGCCAAGCTTGTCAGGGAGGTGAGGGCACGTTAGTCGGCTAGGCCAGAGTGGAGCTACAGATCGTTGACTGTGACGGAGACACTCCGAAAGAGATCGAATCGTTACTAGGAGATGTTAACTCTGCAGAGATCGACGCAGTGGTCAAGATGATACTACTCGAGGAAGCGTTCGGTCAGTCTCCCACACCCTTGCTTGGCAGTACCACCGCGACATCAGGCAACATTTCCGTGGCACTTGTCTTGAGATCTGTCGTGGTCAACCGTCCTTCCATCGCAGTAGTCCATAGACACTTGGAAGTGATAACCTCACATCCCTCCGCATCCACTCGATAAGATCTTCCTTTACAGAAGATGATAACGAGCCCAGCCGCATCTGCATCAGCACGCCAATTGGCAGTGGCGGTCCTGACGAAAGACATCGCCCTCGGTGTATGCGGTGATGGAGGGGCTCCTTATACGGGCTACTATAAGGTGACACCGGAGGACTCCCACCTCGATGCAGTCTGCTCATCTCCTCCGCTTCACCCAGGCACTCGCAGGAGATGCAGACACGAGGCCGAAGCATCTCCTTGACCTCCTTGCAGCAGCTTACTCACTCAGGAGTGCGTCGTCTGCGACGGTCGACAACGTCCTCCTCGGGTGTCTAATCACTGCAGTAGCTGACCATACTATGGATAAACGGGTGATGGCACACTCGTGCTAATAGTCAGACCTCGATGGCTTCCACAGTTACGCGACATTTGGGAACGTGAGCTTCGAGGAGCCGATCCTTCATTCAAGCAGTTGAAGTGAGTTCTCTGGGTCATCATTCGAGGAGGTAGAAAGGCCCTTCAGATTCATACGAGAATCCGCCAGTAAAGTTGTCGAGCTAGTACGACTACAGACGATCCAAGCAGTGGCTATGACTGTGATGTCGTACCCTATGCAAGGCAGGGATGAGCTTGTTGGCCCATTGCTAGAGGTCGCTACGCGAAATCGAACAACACGAATTTATCTGCAATGTCTGCTGCGAACATGGATGTATTTCGATTAGATAATGGAGTGCCCCCCAGAGCAGTACGGGAAGGTAGCCAAACCTCCTTCGCCAGGCATCTTGATTTACGCTGCGCAAACGGTGAGCTCGTTGACCCTTCTAGGGCGAGATTATCACACATAACGGCAGATAACGTGTCTGTTGACCTCCGCATCCCCCATTGAATTAGTACCGAGAGAGCTGTAGGTTGCGATGAGCTATATAGCATAGAGAAAGCGTTCTCTTCATCACCAGGTACAGTGATGCTTCGAAGCTTTGTTCGGCTGGTAGTGGTCAGTCAGTACCGATGCCAAGGCTAGCCGGCAAGGAGGAGCTTGCTCAACGCATCATAAGGGCCTGTGTCGATGTAATCTCCAACAAGAGGAATCCAGAATCGTTATGAAATCTTGTCATCAGACAATCTGCTTGACTCTCAATGTATCATTCCCGGTTGATCCCAGCCATCCAGAGACTCCCGTGCCTCCTAATGTCGTAGTCATGGATCAAGCTCCAGTCAGTGTGGAGAAAGCCCACCGTCAAAGACCGCAAGTGTCGGGGATTTGCGATGGTGAGTTGTGGCTAGCCCAGCAGACTGAGGCATGAGCTCAGCTCGCGACCTCGTCTCTCTCATATCTCGCCCCGTTTGGGCATTATACGAAGCCCAGTATGGAACCGAGGCCCAGAGAAAGACGAAAGGTAGTAGCACTCGAACTAGGCTGAGACTTCCTGGAGAGCTGACTCGTCATTCTCCACGTAGATGACTGCCGGCCGCCTTATGAGTTGGGGATCAGATGGAACGCTGCCTTAGCCGTTAGCCAGCTTCTCGAAAGCGTGGTCATGGCTCATCCGTCTGCTACGACCAGGTCGGAAGACAGTTTCTGCCCAGCAACAGTTAGGTGTGTTAGCAGATATGTGACGACGCTGGAAAAGCAGGGTCTTATGGCGAGAGTCTCCCTCCTGCGTGACGTTCAGCGACGAGTGCAACGGATGATAGGAGCATCATCGTATCAGAAAAGTCTATCCTCATAACATGTCCTCTTCCCCGCTCATGTTCTTTCCCGATCGATCGCCGTGTTGCGCAAGTTCTGGCTGATCCGGCTCGGGTTAAGAGAAGCAGCATCAGTTTGTTGAATCAAGGCCATTCATCAAGGCCCGCGGCACATAATGTATCATCCGAGCACCCCGATATCCAACTGGAACTCCTTCACACATCGACCCGTACATATCAATATACTACAGACGGATGCCCCGAGTGCTTTCTGTGTCTCCTTGAACTGTTTCTTTGAAAGTAAATGATCTGCATCACTGATCTGAATCTCGGAGGTTAGAGACAGACTCAGAGAGGGGGGGGGGGGAGGCACCCCCCCCCCTTATTGATTACTTGAAATAGCCGGACGCGGCCGCTATGCTATTCCTCGACGGTACGATGTCGATATGATGGACATCAGAAAGTGTATTCGGTTTGACTGGGCTTTCGCATTGTTGAAAGTTTATGTGTTGCCTGTTAAAGAGTTTATCCAGCGATTGGGGCCGCTATGCCACAGGATCAGAGTAATTCTCTGCCTCCAACTTCGTGTTTATATTCCAATACAACTGGTTACTTGAACACAAAAGGAGTAGATTAGAGACTAGTGTATGTAGGAACAACGGGAAAAGCATCACCATCCTTCCTCGCCGTCGAAACCAGTAAATCCAGTGAGCAAGAATAAGGGAAAGTAGATCTTTTTCTCGATTTGACTACACCAGTTCCATGCTGATGTCAACCTGAGATGGCGATGTCGTAGACAACTGAAAAGGAACTTGTTCACCTTCCATCGATGCAGCTTCCGGCGTCAAAGAAATTGTCAGCACCGCTGCCATCGAATGCGTGTTTGAAGAAATCCTAAACAGAGGATAAGAATGGTCACATAATCTCATTGATGCTGTCGAGCGCACCTGCAATATTATTCGTTTAGCTCCATCAACACCGCCAAAGGTTGAATCAACGTAACTGATGGATATATCAAGTAATTTTCTGACGATCTTTATTGATGTACTCTCTAATGCTGGGCCTTGCTTGGTATTCTGCTTCCAAACGATCAAGACAATGACATACAGGGGACAGTATCCTAGGGATTTGACAATATTTATCCAGGAAGATAAGTGCCTATTATAGACAGTCTCGTTGACGACCGACAGTAAAAAGACGTACATTAGGGACGTTGTGGTCACCCATATGTACAACGCTCGAGCCTGTCCAACCACCCAACTTCTGCTGGACACTATTCAGTATCTGGTTCATCGCACGATACACTGAGGGGGCTTGTTGTATCCTAAGTATCACAGTAACACCAGCGGCAGTAAAGATCAATACCTACCGATTGAGTCCCTGGCCTGTATCGGCGAGTCGATAACCTCCTGCAGGTTTCACAATAGTGTCGTTCTCAACCATGTGCCAGAGTTGAATGAGGTTCTTCAACACCTGAGGACCCACTGACCACGGCAAAACAATCACGGAGGCTTACGTCATCCCATAGCGTCAAACTCTGCAGAACATACTGGTACTGCCGTCGATGGTCATGAGAGAGCCTCGCGCCTCCCTCGCCGTACCGCAAGCGCAGTGAACAGTGGCGAGACTTTACACCGTCTAGAAGTCGACTCCATGACCTTCCCTAGCACGTTGATAGACCCACCAGATCCAGAGGTTTCATCGATAGGAGAGAAATAATGCTGAAGATACTCCTTCATCCTGGTCGCTGGCTCCGAGCAGTGCTCCCGGAATTCTTCAAATTCTTCGAGCGAGTCGAGGACGGCATTCAAGTCTTCAGGCTGGAACTTATCCTAACCATATCGACAATGAGCGGCAGCCTACTATCGAACGATACGCACAGTATCCATTTGCAGTACTGAAAACTAGGCATGGCCGTAAGTGGATACTAGAGCGATGCAAGAGACCCAGATAGGCCACATTATAGTGTATATCTCACCCCATGTCTAGCTGCTATATCTTCCCTTGCTGCTGTCTTAACAGCTGCCTCCTCCTTGTTGTGTGCTGGATGGACAGCTAGAGGCAACCGAGAGTCGAGGAGAAGATTTTCCAGGGGTTGCCCGAGGGCTCTGAACAAAAAAACGTGAAAACAGTCATTCAGATTTTCAGAACTAAATTCGGCGTACCCATATTCCGATTCGATCGTCTTGATCGGTTTGATCAGCTCAAACTGCAGCCTGTCCCTGACCTTGTTCGCATCCATCAACATGTACCTGTATATCTATTCCACAACGATCTCTTCACCGATATATTTTACATCAACTTTCCATAGTTGTCTCGGAACCTCTCAGGATTGAGCATCTTATACCGTCTTCCAACCTAAACTCTCAAGTCGATAGAAAACTGATTGACCCAATCCTTACCTCGAACACTCGTTGATACCAGTGCTGGAAATCCGCAGGAGGACGCTGATGCGAGGCTATTGACATTCCAGATAAGATAGAGCACGCCTGAGAAGCCCCATCACACTAGTAGCAGATGAAGGCCAACCTCATCCAGTTGGTCAATGATCAAACTGTCCTTCTCTTGTCGCAGCGTGTAGACGTCGACTCTGTCTGTATATTCGCTCACGTTGAGAGCTCGCTCCAGTAGATTCAAAGCCTTACGATCCTCATGGGACAACCTGGCAAGGCCAAGGTCCAGCCAGAAGTGAGCAGGAAGAATGAAAGCTGCTCACCTGACGGGGACGTATCGACTGAGTTGAACGTAGGAGTCTCGAGAGGCGGTATGCTGGGGAACTGACGGTAGAGGGACAGAGACGCTTGAGCGAAGCAGATCTAATCCACTAGATGTCGAGACCCCTGTCCGATGTATAGCAAGGTACGCGACGACGCTCGTATCTTAGGTTGAACCGCGTAAGATACACATTAGGTCCGATTTATGCCTATTTGTGTGCGCTTTCTATTCCTCGACCCTGTATAACCTACCCAAATCCCAATCAGCCTCCGCTTTCTGTAAGACTCTATCTCGATACTGATCATCAACGCACTCAGCTTCCGTCGACATTGCTTCTGAGTTCACGTCCACTCTAAACACATAGACAAAGATACACAACGTGCCCCAGTGGTAAGATACAGATTATGTCCAATCCTGTACCTCGATTGGCATGCCGCTATTATCTCTTTCCGTCGCGGCAATTTCAATAACAATTGTCGCAATTCCTCTTCATTCAATGCCTGACACATACCAAACTCCAGTCGCAAACGCCCCGACTATACTTCGCAGAAAAAAATTTCTTACCCGGAAAACTCTCAAACTACATAAAATATTTCTTCCTTTTACAGTCACACAACCGTCATAAGGAATGGGAGAACTCAACTGCCCGACTTACTCCGAGCCTTTGGGGGAGTACCTCTAGCGGTACCTCAGCCTCACTAGGGGCTTCACTCTGCGACTCGTATTCGTGACCATCCAACACCTACACAAGATATTACGATATACGTATATAACGGGAATTGTAAACCTACCGCAGTCAAACGTTTGGACGGATCGCCTTCTTCCTCACCATAGAAATGCGTCTCCGGTGCTGTCATTGTTGGTGATGATGATAATGACGACGTCATAAAACTCAAACAACTACTATCAACATTTACGAAAATAGTCCAATAATCCTTCGATCACTACGAACGGGATAACGCCGTGTGAAGTAACTTCAGTATTTTGAGGTCAACATCATAGAAAGCAGTGTTAGGAAATACGTTCGCTTCCCTCAGCTGAGCTCAGGAATTTCTTGATAGAACGGTTTACATACGAATTCGGATAGCTCAGGAGTGTACAGAAGACTACAATAATTCCCAGAATTTTCTCAGAAATTCCTTGTTGCCAACAACACATGTAGTTGACCATGTACATATTTTCCTACATCGGTAAAATGGATCTACTGCTTTTATCTAGAGTCAGTAGAGCCTGCCGAAGATGTATCAAAAACCGGTAATACAACAACAATGATGATGACGATGATGATGATCACTATATACAATGGTGATGTGACTATCGCCGACAACACCGTCATGGCAAAACGTACAGGTTGAAGCTATACAACAGTCGCAAGAGTGACCAACCACCGAGGAAGACCACAATGCTACTGATAAGTCTCCGAGCCTTCTCACATACCGTAACTTGAGCAATTCTGCATCTACTCCAAATGAGCTGTGCTCCAAAAACTGATGACAACTCTTACAAGATTTTCCCAATCGAATCTCTACAAAAAGGGAAATTGTCAAGCCAAACAAATTTCTATAACAATTTTAGCAATTTCTCAAGTTTCTCTTTTTGATTTATTTGTCGTAACAAATTTCTCAAAAATCAAATTTCTACACTTCCAATGTATCCCCACATATATTTCAAGAGTATAAAACATATCCCTTACTAAGTAAAACTTCCTCATTCAGTTTCCCCACAGCATAAATTTCCCCCGATAATACAACCACCAAGTCTCAGAATTCCATTTTCCCATACCGCTCCTTCAGGTCTTCATCATCCCCGCCAGAATGGACGCCCATAATCAAACGCTGAATTCTCTCCGTCAGAGCTTATGCGGTGTCCTCTACTACTCCTACTAGTAGTAGTAGAGGACACTAGCTAGGCTACTACTGAGCTCCTTCACTCGACACAACACCACTACACGACCGATGCTGATGATAATGATGGGAAACACTTCGACACCAACACGACCGCATCAGTATGCGAACCCTTGCGAAACAAATTCCTTGTAGAGCGAGAGCATTCTACCTCCGGGATCGTTTTCACGCTTTCTCGTCATTTTTATTCCAATACTGTCAGTTCACTCAAAAGATGTGTGGCGAAATGTCTTACCATAGTCCCACAGAGTCTCGCATTTCCAATATTTTGACGGGCTATCAACCTCGCACTCCGATCAGATAAACTCAATTACATACCACTCCTTTGCCACTTCTTCTCAGTATAGGGCTATAGGCTTGTCATCATCATCAAACCCGGATTCCTCTTCTCATAATTGGGAGGGCGGTCATACCGACGAATTGGATCTTCTACTACCAAGACTGACCTCCTACCTGTTAGTTGCGAAAAACACACAAATCACAAATCACCAAACTGAACACCACTAAACTTCGTCATCAGTTCGAAACAAAATCAATACCAGTACCAATAGTAATGACACCATCACGCCTTTGGAGCGTTCATATAGACACTAGGATCAACACCAACCAGTACTTGGCCAACAAGGTCCTCGTTCGGTTGCACTCCACCACCTTGCAATGCATCGTACCTGGACGATAACCCTTCCTATCAGCGATGAGAAATATGTTAACTTTCCTCAACTGAGCTTCAGAGTTTCCTCACTACTTATACATGTTTACACGTTGACATACGAATTCGTTTAGAAACGTACAGGAGTATATTTCCTCAGAATTTTCATATGCGCTTGACGATATGCATATCGCCTTCTTCTATGCATAAAGGCCAAACCCCTCACCATATGTATTGTAACAGCTCCGTGTTGTTCAACGCCAATGACGACTTCACTTCTGTGAACGCTCTAGTTTCAGCCGAGATATACTGCTCGAGCACAGCAGCCGCAGCCTGCCCTTCTTGCAACTACACAAGGAAGTGAATACCTCATTTTACTCATTCCCAGTACTACCGTCCTCATAGCCTGTCCCTGCGCTCTCGACACCGTCGCATTAGCCTGAGCTGCTGCTACTATACGATCAGTTGCCATACCAACCTTAGCCGCATCTCTCAGATTAATGTTTCCTATAAGAAAAAAAAATCATGAAAATACATATGATATTCACAGATCGTCCGAGTTCCTTGCCCTTGATAATTTCAAGCTAGAGAATGCCTCTCAACATCGCAGAGTTCACAAACTGAGATTCCATTCCGACTCCTGCAAGAGCATATAACTCCACGAGCTGATCACTTTTACTATTCATAGTATACAAATGCAATTAAGTTACTCGGGGAATCCGATCCTCTTACGTCTGGAATGAAATAGTTCACCCCGTAAAAAGAATCCCTCAAGTCTAAACGCTCTTATTAGGAACCTTCTTACGAGTGATATTCTGCTTCGTGTTAGCAGCCGTCAATACTGAGTTATAGAACTGATCGGGCAGCTCATCCTCGTTGATCTGCAGCCCTTGAATGGAAGCATGAAAATCTCTCTAAAAACGACATCTATTTTCAACTGTCATTCCCGAAAAAAATCAAAAAGGTTGAACATGCAAACTGAAGTGAATAAACTCACAATTTACTCAAGTCACCCGAGTTCGGGTTTCGAAACCGACAAGAAAACTTTTCCCATTACAGCGTCGCAAACTACTTTCCATCTACTCTTATTATGCTTACCCTGAAGTGCTCGTCGAGGTATGCCATCATGCCTCGGGCTATCATTTCCTTGCTATTGAAAAACTGGTAGGCGCTAAACTGAGTAGCGTACCTTCGAAAAAGAGACTTCACAAAAATCAAACGGAAGTAGACTCACTCGGTAGCCAAATGATTCGCAACGAGTTTGAAAGTCGTCTCGAAGTCCTCGCCCAACTGCATGTACAGTTCCACTGCCTCATCCGGTATCAACTGGTACCTATCATACCACTCCTGCGCGAACATCCCAATCGAACCAGGATAAGGCAGTCAAGAGATCCACTCAAACTATAGACGAAATCGTCTGCTTACTGGAAGGCAACGCCGAGTACGAGCGGTAGACCATCGCTTGTCCTAGCGTGGAGAACATCATACTCAGAGGTGGAGAACTCGATGGTCCTCACAGTTTTAGGGTAATAAACCTACGGAAAAATACCTCCACTAGGGAGCGAACCCGGGACCTTCCGATTACGAAATAAGCAAAGGGCCCAATCGTGTACAACCCTGACTCCGTGTACGGCTTCGATGCAACATGCTTAAATATGTTATCGTACTTCACACCGAGTTCGGTCGCTGGCACCTTCGAAAAGGACAAGGCCAGTAACTGACAAAGAAAAAACATCACCGTAACCTCACCATAGTTCACTTACCACTATTGCCACTATGAGTAATGGTGACCACAACACTACCTTCTGAATGTTATTCATATTACAATAGAAGAATCAACTGCTAGTAGACTGATACACTACTACTACTACCACTACTACTACTACTACCACTACTACTACTACTACTACTACTACTACTACTACTACTACTACTACCACTACTACTACTACTACCACTACTACTACTACTACTACTACTACTACTACTACTACTACTACTACTACTACTACCACTACTACTACTACTACTACTACTACTACTACTACTACTACTACTACTACTACTACTACTACTACTACTACTACTACTACTACTACCACCACTACTACTACTACTACTACTACTACAAGTACTACTACTACCACTACTACTACTACTACTACCACTACTACTACTACTACTACTACTACTACTACTACTACTACTACTACTACTACCACTACTACTACTACTACTACTACTACTACTACTACTACTACTACTACCACTACTACTACTACTACTACTACTACTACTACTACTACTACTACTACTACTACTACCACTACTACTACTACTACTACTACTACTACTACTACTACTACTACTACTACCACTACTACTACTACTACTACTACTACTACTACTACTACTACTACTACTACTACTACTACTACTACTACTACTACTACTACTACTACCACTACTACTACTACTACCACTACTACTACTACTACTACTACTACTACTACTACTACTACTACTACCACTACTACTACTACTACTACTACTACTACTACTACTACTACTACTACTACAAGTACAAGTACAACAAGTCTCGAAGATCAGAGAAACTTCGAAGCATAATAATAGCACAAAGAGCGGTACTCGAGAGTATCCTTTCAACCATCCCTTCACAGTTCATCATGAACAGGTCGGCCACGCTGTACTGGTGACGAGCCCAGACCCATAACCACCGACCCTCCACGTTTATTGCCAGTAGCACTCTTCAACTCGAGATACTTGGAAAATTCTGTTGCGCCCAACTGCAGTTGGTCCGACAAGCGTTTATACCTAGAAAGATACCAACTGCGCACAGCGAAGATTCCCCAATTGTGTCCATTACGCCGTTGCCTTCGTAGCCTGCTTCGTTCTGAATGCCTCTTGTGTGGCTTCCGCGACGATAACTCTCGCCTTGGCCGCCCCTGTTGCCGTAATATTTGCTATACGAGCCTGATCACATCATCATAGCACATCGACCGTTATGGAATCTCCAGACCGTGTCGGGTCTGTCCTTCATAACAGTTGATAACCGCGATGCTCACTAATCTCAAGAGTCAGCTGAAACTAACATGTTAATTTCTCCATAATTTTCAAGAGTCAACTCCTCACACTCTATTCTGATTTCCACAACTATGGTGACTAGTAGAAGGCTCTACCTCATTCTGCGCCAACAGCACTTCGATACTCTGTCTGACTGCCGCCACCTCCTGAGCGTACTCGTTGATAACCTTCTGCTGCTCGGCTACCTGCCAGCAGCAGAGGATGCTTGCGTCTGCCATAGAGTCATATACCCACCTGTATGTCTGTAATAGTGTCTTCATAACTAGGTACGAAGTCAGTACGGAGGATCTGAATACAGTACGAGTGCAAAAAGCCGATATCGGGGTTCGAACCCGGGACCTCCACCTACCTGGAAGAATCGGATCTTGCTGCCGCCACCTTGACTAATGAAGGTCCTATTCAACACACTCTCCATCGTATCAGATATCCTCTTACGGTCTTGCCAGAAGTCTTGCGGTACGAACCTGCAGTACCACTCGCCCTCCATTCTAATCACCATCACCACTACCTCTGAGCCGTATTAGACACGGCGTTCCTTGCCAACAAGCGGTACCGAATCATAGCTGGTTCTAGGCCGCCAAAGGACACGTAGACGTCATGAAGGTACTCCAAATCAAATTGGAATCTGAACCACGGGGCGGTAATAGGAAGGGCAAGTCTATTAACGATCGGCATCTACGACGCGAACTTCCGGATAAAATGCGAAGTTAATTTGCTCGAAAATTGAGTCCGGTCGGGAAGGCCGAATTTTTCAACCCTTGAGGACTTACTGTAGAGAGCAGGATATCGTAATCGGTTGTCCACCACTGTCAGGGTCCGACTTGTCAGCACCAGTCCCTAACACACGAGCTTCCACGACAGCTGCCAACCTTACCCATCCTACTTGTTTTGACAGTCATCGGTCCAGTGAAGTCGATGGTAGTATAAGTAGCTGGGAACTTAACAAAGGTTTGGAAAGGCCATACCTGAGCATCTCCTAGTGACTAAAACTCAAGTGGTACTACAGCTTACCACATGCCGGCCGCCTCGATAGACGCCGCCGTCCTCAGGCACCGAACCTGTTATCATATTGCGCAGTATGCCTACTTCATTGACCTACAGAGAACCCATCAGTGAGGCCAATGGTCGGTCTAGTACCTCCAGAGTTGCAGTGAAGAAGACCCAGAATAGCACAAAGAAGACCAAGAGCCCGATGGTGGACCAAATTGCGGTCTTGGTGGACCGGCCACAGTCCCACGTATTCCATTGCCAACCATTGCTATGAGCCTGTCCAGTAGTCGGCTGGTTACCGAACCCGAAAGCTGCACGTAAACGATCTCGAATCTGATGCATCTAACCTGACCTAATCCGTATCTTACCACCACGAACCTGAGATGCCACATCGGCCTCCTGTGGCTGCTGCTGCTGCTGTTGCTGTAGTGCCGGCCCATTGTAAGGCATAGGCTGCGGAGGCTGGCCGAAGTGGAAGACATTCCCAGTAGGAGGAGGCCCTTGTGGAGGGGCCTCAGCTCCACTTGGCCGTCCGCGAACTGCACCGGGTCTGTTAACATTGTATACCAACAACGGGTTCTCTGGTTGCTCTCCATTTCCTGAGACACTACCATCACTACTGACGAGCCCTATGGGGCTTACCGGGCCTGTTGGGGTCCTCCCCGGTCGTATTGGTATTACTCATGTATTACTCAAAAAGTCAACTGCCAAGCAATAACTACACTACTACATACACTAGCACAGTGCTGGTATTGTAAATTCACATATAAGGCGGAGCGAAGCTATTGTTTTTTGACATTTTTTCACACACACATGTGAAGAATCAGCAAAGCGCTCGACACCAAGACCGACGCAAGATCGTTGAGGTCGACGATTCCCCGAATCCACTAGACTCAATCCGGTAGACATAGAGCAAATAATTACCGAATCTTAGTTTTTTTATTTATCGTAGCAACTACTAGTGCATCTTACCGTTACTGAGCAAAATGATTAATGGGCGAGCGATAATCAGAAATGCGCTGAACAGAAGATTATTGGGCGAGCGATAATCAGAACTGCTCACACTGGGGGGCCCAGCGACAAAGTGAATTAACGAGCTATTATATACGATATTGCAGAAGAAAGATCGAAGATGTCAGCAAACTCTTGAGTCAGTAAACGATCAATCATCATGATCACCTTCAGCTGCAATCATCCTCAGGGTAGCCCTAGTGATCCGACGTACCACCGTTAGAGAAGAGCGTAGGTCAATTACTGTCGGTGAAGTGTGGTCGAGATAGGAATCAGTAGCCAAGTACTCTTCGCCATTGCGCACGGGTAGACCATCAGATCTTCGACAGTAGGGAGCGATGACGATGATGGGTATTTCCTCATCTACATTGAGCAATCGGCCAAAATACCATCGACCAGCATCTTGAGGATTGTCTCCCAGGGTGTCGTTAACGGGCACGTAGAATGCGACAACATCCATACCAATGTGGAGACTTCCGAGACCAGACGGGCGATGCCGAGGAGCCATTGAAGTCGTCGGATCAGCAATGAAACTCACGTCATCAGTCGCCACTGTCAGCTGACGTGAAGTACCCATGCCCACTACATTATCCCTCGAGGCCGTCACGGGGTCTTCGCCGGCACGAGGATCTTGGTGTGCTAACGGAGAGTCTTCAACAGCGGGGAAGGCACAGTTAGCTGCGGTAGAGTCCTCGGCAGCAGAGTGATCCTGTTGAGGCGCTAGAGAGTCCTCATCAGTAGAAAGATCACGAACCGATGGAGAGTCCTCAGCAGTAGGAAAGCCACGAACCGTGCTGTTCTCGACAGTTGCGCGAGCAGTCTTGCAGTTGTCTCTCGCACAAAGAAGCTCTGTACCGCGATCGTCGATGACAGTAATGATCGTGCTCCCAGGAGATGCCGAAATCACCTCGAAGGGACCCTTCCATCTGAACGACAGCTTAGTTCTGGGATGACCCCAGACGTAGACCCAATCACCCGGAGAGAGGTTCAAAGGTGGAACTCTAGTAGCCATTGTCGATCGGACCCGCTCACGAAGGTCCAGCCAGACCTGACGATACTGTTGCCAGCGTGACACCTTGACATTTTGGATATCAGTCAGAATGTCCAACGATACAGCAGACGTGACTGAAGGCAGTCCTTGGTAGACTTGGTGAGCAGCTGAGTCATCGATCGGGTCTAACGCTGGGATACGTCCTCGGGTGAAATAGACCAGATCATGAGGAGCAATGTCGGTGCCAGGCAATGGGAGTAGATTCCACGCTCTCAGCCCGTGAAAATAATGACGGACCCATGATAAAGCCAAGGTACCCGAACCGAGTTTCCCTAGGATAACCCTCATATAACCATTCACCTCCTTGTGCGGCCGCTCACCAGATCCTAATAGGAACGGTGCGTTGGCAGGGAGCTCCTTAAAGATTACGTTGTTAGAGGCGCAGAAATGGGTCCATTGGTGGCCTCGGAACGTCGAGTCGCTAGCCAATATCAAGGAAGGCCAATCAGTAGAGTCGAAGAGGGCCGCAAGCTTGAGGAGAAGTGTAGCACAGCTCTTATCAGGGACAGTGACACCTCGACAATATCGTGTGGCGACGCAAACGATAGTGACAGCGTAGCGATCGTAGGATGGATCTTGTCCATTCTCATATGGTCCACTATAGTCGATCATAACAACACGGAGGGGCCCAACGCCCCCACACCACGGAACCGAGCCGAGTGAACATCTGGCAATCCTGTCTCCTTTAGCTTTGGCACAGGCATCGCAGCGGTTAACATAGCGCCTGACGTAAGCACGCATGCGTTTCCAGAAGTATCGAGAGCATAACAGTCGCAGAGTACCACCCTCGCCACGATGGAACGCGTCATGCGCCTTCTCGACCAACTTGTGCTTTAACGGTTCAGATCCAACCAAGACCTGCTCGATCCTCTCGACCACAGGGGAATCCTCATCACTGATCTTGGCACTCAGAATGCGTACCAATAGGCCATTGACACCGATGCGATACCAGTTGGAGAGACGTTGACGTGTTGGGTCTTCAGTCTTTGTAGACAGCTTCTCCTTGATAGTTCGTATGGATGAGCAGGAACTCTGATCGGCCTGAAGCTCTTCAACGGAGACGAAACCAACATCAGTTTCGGGGCTGGACACTGTGGTCACCAAATTGAGCTCACAACTGGCCTCGCTGTCGGAATAGTCGATCAGAGGGAACGGATCGGGGTCTAGATCGTCACCATCATTCTCGGCCGGCCTCGAGGGGAGCTGTCGAGGATAAGTGAGATCTGAAGTGAGTGATGACGACACCCCGATGCTGATCTGGTCTGGCGGCAAGGGCGTCAGCTCGACCGGTTCACGGAAGGGGCGAGTGCAGGGATCTGACGGATTGTAAGCACCGGCGATATGCCTTACGTGAGTAACGATACCCAGCTTTTGAGCTCGGGTAACAAACTCACGAACACGGCGAAGACGTCGACGCTCGAAAATACCCAACTTATTGTCGTTGGCAGTAGACCTGAGTCGATGGACGGCTATGAGGGAGTCCGTAAAGATATCGCACGAAGGTGGCAGAGGACCATGGGCTGTGGCCACATCGAGTAGGCGCTCCAGGAGTGTGATAGTGCAGTAAAGACCGGACAGTTCTTTTTGTACGATGGAGTGTTTGTGAACGCACTCCAAGGAGAACAGGCCAAACCTCCCACCAATCCTAGTGAAGGGGAACTTGCCCATGCGAATATCACAGCAGAACCCATCATAGCTTGCGTCCGAGAAAGCATACAAACCATCATGTAGACCCGCGAACCGAGGGATCCAGAATTCCCGAGGGATGTAAGAGATCCACTGGTTAAGGTTCTTGACGAGAATGTTGTCCAGAGGAGCATCCCACGAAGGACTTTTGGTATTCGTGGGTTGGGAAGCCAGGCGAGCAAGACCTCTCCCAACTGCGGCGAACTCCATGAACAGGTTCAGAGGATCATAGAAGGAATTGACCGCACCAACCAGTAGACGTCTAGTGCATGTCTCCGGGCTGTAGGTTGGCTCGAGTTTAACCGTGAGTGACAGAGAATCCGATCCAGGATCATATCGATAGCCGAGCAAGCCCTTGATGTTGGTGGGATCATGGGACGGAGCTGGATGCATGTTGTCGAAGGTTTTAACCTCGTGGACAGGCATTCCCGCATCGTCGAGTTTGGAGTAGCAAAAGAGAGACCGATTGTGGACGTCGGCTGGACATTCTCCGCGGTTCACAAGGTCGTCGACGTAGATGACCAAATCCAACCCTTTGTCGACCAGAACTTTGGGGACGGAGCAGAGCGGAACGGCCTCAGGTGGGGTATCGAGAGGACGCGTACCGGGCTTGACGAGACTACCGTCGGTGGTAGGGTACAGACCGTTGGAAGGCGAGTGTCGGGCCGCTAGCTGTCGACTCCATCGCAACTGCAGATCTTGTAAGACAGATTCGAGTCCGAATCCGCTACACGATAGGCCGAACGGGAGTCGGCGGAAACGAATGGTCACAGATGCTGCTACACATCCTATGAAAAAGCTATCAGAATCTTGGATTCCGACCCGTAAAAAGGCAGTTTGGAGATCGGCAGCACGGAAGAATCCACAGTTGCGGACAGCTATCAAGAAGAACCACAAACTTCCCGGACCCACTCCCTTGGTAGATATGTTGGCAATGTACCGGTTGAGCTCACGAGCATCCAAGCACACACGACAGCGATGCGTGGCCTTATCGGGCCGAAACACAGGTAAGCCGTTGATGTAGTATCCACACTGCTCTGGATTCTCGACCACTTCAGCGAACCCCGCGGTGACCAGGTCAGTTACGGCCTGACGGTAGAGTCCTTGTTGCTCTGTCGTGAGTCTCGAAAAAATAGCTCTGTCACGTGCATAGGCGCGATGATAGTTCCACGCAGGACGATGCCTATCGTCACACCAAGGAATGCCAATATACGGACGTCCAGCAGGAGCGGATGGATCAGGTCGGTAAGAAACCGGTAGGAAGTGGCGACCCTCTGTGGAAGAGACATCGTGGTCGATGGGATCAGCCGAGTGACAGAGATTCTCCGACTCATCTTGAAGAACGGAGAACTTCACCGAGCGTTTGTGAGTCGGACTCGGAGAGTCTCTTGCCAGCACCATACGGAGGCAAGTCGTCGAACCCGATGCGGCTAGAGGAACAAAGTGCTGTTGGACGTGCCCACCGCCGATGAATAGCCGATCCTCGGAAGGAGTCTCACCTATCACCCACCTAGCACCACCAGCTTGTCGCAAAGCTGTAGTAGGAAGTATGATACGATGAGTGAGGTCTTCGAGAACAAGGAATGATGCCAATATAGTGGTGCCAGTGACGAAGGTAACACGCAGCGGAGGAGTACGACCCAAGGTAGATACGGAAGCACCGTTGGCAACTTTGACCTTAGTGTCATCGGGCAGAATAGGGAATTGTAGACCGGCAGCACGCCATGACGATAGCTCATCAGACCGTAAGAAGAAGGCCTCGGCTCCTGTATCAAGGAGACCCGGACAGAATACGGTGGCAGAACGAGAGTCTTCACTCAAGGAGATCTTGAGGCCAATGGTGATCAGTGACGATGTAGCAGTAGGTTCCTTGGAGACACAGTTGACTTGTGCTGTACTGGATGGGAGCTGCTCACGGGGCTGACCACGTTGGGGCTTGGGAGAGGGGCAGGCGCGGCACAGATGCCCAGGAGCAGAACAACGGTGGCAGATCGCCTTGGCACAGTGGAGTACCGGGTTAGGGGCAACGTCATGATAGAGCCCACATTTGTCACAGCGAACTTGCGACATGAACATCTTCTCAGTTCCACATTTGCTTGTGGAATGGTCGTGTGCCAGGCATCGTTGGCATCGAAACCTCCGCACGAACTCGATGGTAAACTGCTTGGGATCGACCGTCGAGCTCCCGACCGGGATGGACGGACGCAACGCAGACGGATCGAGATACTGAGCTGTAGAGCCCGGACCTTTGCGAGAGGGTTGACATTGGCCTGCTGATAGAGTTGTCACCACGTGCTGAGGCAGGGTCGTAGGATGCTCGGATCCAGTACGAATTGCCAGAGTTGGGGCAGTCGCATTACCGGATAGGAAGGAGGATGTAGTCATACCGCCGGGTAGGGAAGGGGGCGTAGTCGTACCAATAGGTAGGGGAGCAGATGCAGTCGTGCCAGAGGATACCAGACACGATGCGTTCGCCACGTTGAGCTGAGTTGAGGGGCCAGAGCGGCTTGCCGCATGGCGACGATCACGATGACGTTGCCGAGAGTCTTGCTCCAGCAGCTTCCTGGTGAATCGCCTCAAGGAGACTCGATGATCCGACAAGTAGTCGTCGATTCTATCACGTAGTCTCTCGCTATGAAGCGCGTCGAATATCTTGCGCTTCATATCACGATCGGACGGCTCAGACCCAAGATTAACCAGCTCGACTCTGATAGTCTCTGCCCGATCAAGGAGGCTAGCAACGTCCTCATTGGCAGCTTGTTGGAGGTTATGTAGTTGATCTTCAGCACGCAGGCGAACCTCCTCATTGTTGTAGAGAGTATTCACGCGCCGGTAGAGGCTTGTTAAGTGGTCCGAGTAGTCCGCGTGGCACATAGTAGGAGCTTTGCGGCCGGCTGTGATGTCACGCCACACTGAATCATCACAGTTTAGTTCCGCCCACAAGTAAACAGCAGCATCAGGATAGCCTTTCATCGTACGCTTGATGATGGCAACCCACGTAGCACCACTGCGTCGATCCTTGTGACCCAGGAACTTGTCAGCGCCTTTGCGTTTTCTGGCGATGTTGTGGAGAGTGTTGAGATCAGATAGAGAGATCTTCTGACGACATTTACTTCCGTGACATGCGCCACACCATTTACCATGACCCACACGACGTTGATGATCTGACTTGCCGATCGAGCGAGGCCTCTTATAATGTCGACGATCACGGCCAAAAGGCTCAGACTCAGAACCAGAGGAAGATGCGCTGGCAGAACTCAGCGTACGGGATATAGAGGAACCCGAGTCGGACAGACTTGACGATGGCGACCGAGAGAACCTTTTCCGATGACGCCGACGGTATGGATGATGTGATGATCGCTTGCGAACCTCAGCATGAGGCTTGCCAGCAGATGTTGGTCTCACAAGATTCGCCGCCGGAACGTCCCAGGGAGGGGTGTTGTTAGACGACTTGTTTAGACCAAGCAGTGACGATGATGGTTGCGGTGGTTGTAGACGATGTTGTTGATGATAACCGATGCCAAATGATGGGGTAGGAGGATACGTCATCATGCTGCCAGACGTAATGGGTGACGGTCCCGGCAGTCCGACATGATACAGCGGCCGTTGATAACCATAGAAGTTGAGATCAGGCATGGCGAACGGCGGATAGAGCGACGCCAGCTTCGCGAAGTGCTCGGCTGTGGTCTGAACAGAATGATTGGCACTGGCAGAACCGACCTCACCAACATCCACATATGAGCGATGCGGAATGCTCTGAGACGGTGGCTGACGAAGATGCAAATCACTGCCGTTGACATGGATGGTCTCACGCATAGCATCAGGAGGAGGCACCCAAACATTCGGCGGTGGAGAGCCAGGGACCGGGGACTCGTCGGAGGGAGAGCTCCTATGATGGTTGCCGTCCTCGCATAGAGAAGGAATACTCATCGCACCATCTCGTCTGGATGGAGAGGAAGTCGCATCCCGGTGACTGGACTGAGACGCAGAGACACCGTCATCCGGACTCGAGGCAATACCGTCATCGACAGATCGTGGAGAACCATTATCGGGGTTGTTAGGATGGTCGGCGTAGGGAGCAGCGGTGTTGTGATCACCGGAGCTGAGAGCTTGATGTATCCCGGTAGAATGTGAAGAATCAGCAAAGCGCTCGACACCAAGACCGACGCAAGATCGTTGAGGTCGACGATTCCCCGAATCCACTAGACTCAATCCGGTAGACATAGAGCAAATAATTACCGAATCTTAGTTTTTTTATTTATCGTAGCAACTACTAGTGCATCTTACCGTTACTGAGCAAAATGATTAATGGGCGAGCGATAATCAGAAATGCGCTGAACAGAAGATTATTGGGCGAGCGATAATCAGAACTGCTCACACACAGATCAGTCCGGATAAAGGGACCATCAAAGAGGAACCTCCTCAGCCTTTGCCCCCCCGGCACTAACACTCGCCGGGTGGAAAATAGGAGGCACCTTTGTGACCTATCATTTTCTATATTCAAGTTGGACATTGGTTCGGTCCACTGCCGAAATTGGTCGTTTGCTGACAACTCTTCGGAAAACTCACATATAAGTACATTCCTGAGCCTAATTTCAATTCACAATTACTTCACTGAAATTGTTGTGAATCAAGCAACGTATTATCAGTTGCCCGAAAGCTCTCTACTACAAGGTCATGAGGCCTATTTGAAATCTTGACAGACCATGCATCGGGTTTCCTACCGCCATCTAAGATACAGTGTTAGCGCCCGACATATAAACTTGGCTGGAAGGATGCCGCCGACACCGGAGATGTGGGTAGATGTAGGATCCTGTGAAGTGTAAGGCTTCTGTAAAGTGTAAGGCTTCTGTAAAGTGTAAGGCTTCTGTAAAGTGTAAGGCTTCTGTAAAGTGTAAGGCTCCTGTAAAGTGTAAGGCTTCTGTAAAGTGTGAGGCTCCTGTAAGGTGTAAGGCTTCTGTAAAGTGTAAGGCTTCTGTAAGGTGTAAGGCTTCTGTAAAGTGTAAGGCTTCTGTAAGGTGTAAGGCCTCTGTATACTCAGGTTCTACACCTTTCTAGTTCGTCTTTGGAATCATCAATTTGGTCGGGACGCGCGAAGTCAGAGATACGAATGCGAAACGGGTATATCATATTCGCAATTAGAACTTTCAACATCGTCATAGAACATTCAAGTTCGTCCGAAGTCGGTAGGAAGTTCTCGTGTTAACAGAACTCTCAATTTCGACTTTCGAACCTTCGAATTCGTCATAGAACTTTCAATTTCGTCGAGTACACCTTCAGACCTTCAATTTCGTCCCTTTAGGAAAATCGACTTCGTGACGAAGTCTTCGTCGTTCGGAACTTCGATTTCGTGTTTGCGGGGCAGTCATGCCAGTACTCTCGTGGTGATTTTGTTTTCGTGTTTTGTTGACCGTGTCACTCGTCCGTAGGCATCATGCAGAACCAAGTTCCTGCGACACCCATCCATGCGGCCGCTGCTCCCGCTCACCCCCTCATATCTCCTGACCACGCTCTCCATGATCTCGCCGCTATCGGCCTTGGTGGTGCCGTTGCGGCCGTTACCCCTCCTCCTGCTGGTCGCCGATATCCCTAAAAGAAGCCACAAGAATCTGCCCGTCGACGAGTTCGTGAGGCGGCCAGCAATGATGGTGGCTGAGCGGCGGTGGCTCGTTCCAACGGCATCGCTGTGAGCACAGCTCGGGGGTGGGTCCGACGGCCGTCGCCAAAAAACAATCCCCGTGGTGGTGCCACACACATCAAACTCAACGAGGAGCACATCGATTTGATTGAGGAGTGGATCTCGGACGACCCCTTCACCACATTTTAGACTCTTGCTGCAGAAGTCCTCATGACGTTCGGGATTCAAATCAATCGTCAACAACTGCGCCGCATACTACGCGCCTGCCTTGGGACGGAGGGCGATTCAGTTCTGACGTTGAGATTTTTTATATATTTCTATGCCAGTCATGGCATGCCGAATAGATGCAATAAACTATTAATATGGTTTCTGAGCCTCGTGTGGGGTTGCGCTATCACCCTGGAATGGCTTATAGAGCTGCACATCGTAAATCGTCATCATCAGAGCTCTAACCCGAAATTGATGTCCTTGCTCGTGAAGTTGCATTCCTTAATCATGAAATTGATATCTATATTCGCGAAATTGATTTCCCTATTCAACCTTCATCGCTAAATTGATGTCCCTGTCCGCGAAGATGACTTCCTTATCAGCTGAATTGATAGCCTAATCCGCCAAAAAGATTTCTGAAAGGTATAGATGTTTAAAAGGTGTAGTGATTCTCCAGTTCAACTGAACCTCTATATAGATCCACGAAACTATCAACTGAGTTAGTCGACTAGGTGGTGTGGAGAGGAGTCCTCTCAGAGGACCGAAGACTTGCAGGCCCCTACTCTCAAGTCTCGGTGCCCTGGTGCCGTACCAGCGGCTCTCACCCCACATGGGTCTGTCCCCGTAACCCAGTCCACTAGAAAGAACACTCTGTCAATTGCCGAGCACTTTCTCCTAGAATGTTTGGACTATTGAAGCACCCGTCAGCGTGAATTTTGCTACAGATGACCCTAGTCTCTGCGAGCCTTTAGAGTTCCTTTGAGGGTTAAGATGCCTTGCTTTAACAGGTGCATTCTGATGCAACCGCGAGAATATCCGTGGCGGGCCAAAAAGACCGACAAGGATTGTGCGTGCTCGTCGGGTGACGTGCCACAAACTCTTCCATGGTGTTCTTGACACCCTGTGACGGTCTTACTTTACCCCAACCCTGTACTTGAAGCAACCCGCATCTGCTGCATAGATCAAACGGCAACTATATACTGGATAGTATTATGCGCTGTATACTTCACAACCCTATTGTCATTGGAGTACCCGAGTCACCTCGGGCCGCATTAGGTGACCTGTAGGCATCTCCTTTTACCACAGGGGATCGTCTGCACTTTCTCTTGTAGGATCTTCTCATGAAGTGGTACGTGTAAGGGGAATTGTCTTTTTTTCTTCGAGATCAGACCTCCCAGAGGCTTGGTGTATAACTTCTAACCGTAAATTTCATTCAATCTCAGTTTTTTCCTGTTGCTGTTATTTTCCCAGTTTCAAAAACTCAATGGGAAATATGTGCGGCTGTTTCGATGGTCCTGGCGCGACCTCAACGATGCCTCCGCCCGCCACCACTACAACGGTCACCCGTAGCATGTATGCGGCCCCTCAGGCTCCCCAAAACTACACCTATGCTCCTCAGCCACCAATGAACGATTACAAACCCGTTGGACCACTGCCTGTAGCCCAACCCCACCAAATCGTTTTGCCTGATGGTCGCGTCGCTGTCCTTGGTTCTGATGGTCGCTACTACCCACTAGCTCAGGGCCAGCAGCAGCTGCCCATGGCCCAAAACCCGGTGGTGGAGACGACGCACACCACTACTACTAATACCACCGTTGTGAACTCAGCCCCGGCCCAGGCAGATGTTGGTCTTGGCACCGCTATGTTGGCTGGCACTGCTGGCTTCCTCGGGGGTATGATGCTGGGAAGCGCCATGGAGCAACCCTCGACCACTGTGATCGTCGAGGAACCACCGATGTACATCGATGAAGGCCCTACTATAATAGAGGAGACTGTAGTTATTGAAGATGACGATGATTGGTGATTGCTTTAGATAACTAGGACCTGAGTCTCCACGGTATAGGCCTACACTTGCAGTCTCAGTCCTATCCTTTGTTTGAATACGTTTTCCCCTAGGGCCACCTTTAGCCACTGTGAGGGCTTCTGGAGGTCATGGTTATGATGAGGCCACTGCAACTATCTATTTATGTGGTGTACTCATTCGTTACCCGCAGATGACGTTTTTTCTATCGGAGATCAGTCGCCCGTCTAGCCGAGGCCTCCCGGACGTGTTGGCCATTGGTGATAGTTCATAGCAAGGTTTGTAGTTATCGAACTGATTCTCTGCAAAGGTCCACTTGTGTTCTAGTTTGGGTTGGCGGAGTACTTCTCAGCAGTTCGACGCGTGTCACATGAGAGCTCTCACAGAGGACGAGACCAGACAAGTGTTTGAAAAGCTGAAGAAATTCCTTGGCTCCAATCTCCAGCTGCTGGTCGACAGGGCCGATGGTGAAAACTACGTCTTTAGACTCCATAAGGACCGGTAGTACTACCACTTCGGGTGACGGACCATGGGACTATCACGCTTAGGGTCTTTTATATGTCTGAGAATCTCCTGCGTAAAGCTCAGCACATACCAAGGAAGTGCCTGTTGTCGGCCGGTGTGTGCTTTGGCAAGTTCACACACTCTAGGAAATTCCGACTTCACATCACCTGTCTGGACTACCTCGCCAAGCTGGCTACGGTAAGATGCGTTGTTCGCCTTTCTCGAAAGATATTTAATTTTTATTAGCATAAAATTTGGGTGAAGCCCGCTGGTGAGCAGAGTTACGTATATGGCAACCACGTCGTGAAGGTAGAAAGGGCCCTCTGGTGCGCGCTGAAATGTAATCGTCTCAGGCCCACCTCCGACGGGTGACTGAGGATACCCCTGCTAACACTGGGGTGGTGATACTGAATGAACAAGATGTGCCGCTGGGATTTGGTGTTAGTGCGAAGAGTGTTGGCGAGTGCCGTACGGCCGGACCGGAACAGATCGTTGTGTAGGCGTTGGTGACCATGGAAGCTGGGACTTGACGACCACCATTCAGTTACCATCAATCGGATATTGGAGAGTACCTTCGTGAAGAGGCTAACCTTGTATAGTCGACATAGGATCATCATCCTTAACGTTTCTCGACCACTTGAGGCGGTGTTGATTTGTTTACAATCTGGATGGGTCTTTATGAGGTTTTAACCATGGGTGTTGAGACCAGTCCTTTCCTGGCCCCACAGGAGCTGCCTTCCTATGAGTCGGCGGCCATGAAAAACCTTGTGAGGGCCTCCTGATAATGCAACCATGTCACTGGATCCTTTTCAGACTACCCTAGAGGGCCATGGCTACTCGACTCCTCTCAGCACGGTCTTCAACATCGTTAACACAATGGTTGGCCTTGGTACTGCCTCGCGTTACGTCTACAGTGGCCATCTCTGTGACTCAGGAATGTTTGCACTGCCCTATGTTTTCGGGGTTGTTGGTTACCTCACAGGATCCATCATTTTTATAGGAGCCGTCCTGGCCTCCTACCTCTCAGCGTACCCACGTCCCCATCGCTGCGAATCGACGCTAATTGTAGGTACGTCCTCACGATGGTTTTGTCGGGCTATCTGGAGGAGTACAGCTACTACGCTCTGGCCACTCGCCTCTTCAAGGGCCGCACCATGTCTCTGGCCATCGACATTGTCTTGGCGGTTGTGCTTTTTGGGGTAATTTTGGGAACACCTTCACATTCTGGCCGGAGGTGAGAAAATTGTCTTCAGGTCATCAGTATGACATTGGTCGTGTCTTTCGACTCGCTCCATTCGCACTTCCCCAAAGTCCCTCGGTGGATGCTGGGGGGTATGGCAGCGTTGGCAGGATGGGCCGCGTCGCTGCCTAGGTCTCTGCACGGTGTGAGGTTCGCCTCCTACACCGGTGTTGGCCTTATGTTACTTATATGGGTATCAGTAGTCTTCACGGTTATCTTCAACCCGCTCGATTCCGTGGATGTGGAGCCTGTACCACTGGAGGTGGATACCACAAGGTCGTGGGTTCCATTCTCGCAGGTGACACTTTTTACCGCTCTTTCATATGATGTATGTTTCTTAGGCAGCATCAGCTGGCGTGTTCTCTTTCATCATGCACATCAATCTGCCATGCCTACACGGTGAGCTGAAGCCCATTGATCGACCCAAGATGCCCCTTTTAATGGTCATCGCCCTCGCATGGGCGTTCGTGATGTACGTCATCTTTGCGGTTTGCGCTTCTTGTAGCCCTCTGTTCTACTATGGGAGGGTTCCTGACCTTCTAATGGCCTTACCACGGACGCTACTTTTCGACACGTGTCGTGTCCTCATTGTCGTCGTGAACATCACCAAGACGCCGCTTTTGCTCCATCCATTGCGACAGATCGTTGATACGAGGTTGAACGTTCCGGAGCAACTCAACTGGCTGGCCACATCTGCTATCATTATCATTTCTTATTGTCTTTTCCTCTGGTTCAATTCCCTGGTTGAAGCTGTATCCATCATTTCTGCTATATGTTCTATTCTCACGGTTCAGTGGTTTCCAGCTATCTGCATGTGGGCATCAGCTAAGTTGGATGCCACGCGCAAGAGAGAACCACTGCTCCCACGGAGATCGGACTACCATACGTGTATATGGTCGATAAAGACCCGACGCATAGTGGCGATAATTCTGGGTCTTCTAGGAATGTTAGTAGGAGTACTTACTGGCCCTTCCATCATCTATCTTGTGACGAAGTAAGTTTTTGTCAAGTACAATATTATACTATGTTACCGGTTGCCGATGTAATACTCCCCTCTATTGCGTTATATGAGTAGACACGACGACACAACGGGAAAAAAGAGAATCTACACAGTTGCCTTGCTGGGGCCGCTATGCCAAATTGGCATAGCGGCACTAGCAGGAAAACACTGTGTAGATTCTCTTTTTTCCCGTTGTGTCGTCGTGACTACTCATATAACGCAATAGAGGGGAGTATTACATCGGCAACCGGTAACATAGTATAATATTGTACTTGACAAAAACTTACTTCGTCACAAGATAGATGATAGAAGGGCCAGTAAGTACTCCTACTAACACTCCTAGAAGACCCAGAATTATCGCCACTATGCGTCGGGTCTTTATCGACCATATACACGTATGGTAGTCCGATCTCCGTGGGAGCAGTGGTTCTCTCTTGCGCGTGGCATCCAACTTAGCTGATGCCCACATGCAGATAGCTGGAAACCACTGGACCGTGAGAATGGAACATATAGCAGAAATGATGGATACAGCTTCAACCAGGGAATTGAACCAGAGGAAAAGACAATAAGAAATGATAATAATAGCAGATGTGGCCAGCCAGTTGAGTTGCTCCGGAACGTTCAACCTCGTATCAACGATCTGTCGCAATGGATGGAGCAAAAGCGGCGTCTTGGTGATATTCACGACGACAATGAGGACACGACACGTG